AATTTTATTGAATCCATTTTTCCTTCTACTCGTGAGATGTTCCCTGTGCCACTGGCTGCAACACAACCCCAAAGCATGATTGATCCAACCCCATGCTTAACAGTTGGACAGAGGTTCTTTTCATTCAATTCTGTGCCCCTTCTTCTCCAAACGTACCTTTGCTCATTCCGGCCAAAAAGTTCAATTTTAACCTCATCGGTCCACAGAACTTGTTTCCAAAATGCATCAGGCTTGTCTATATGTTCATTTGCAAAGTTCAAACAATGATTTTTGTGGTGAGGACGTAGAAGAGGTTTTCTTCTGATGACTCTTCCATGAAGACCATATTTGTACAAGTATCTCTTTATAGTGGAATAGTGTACCACAACTCCAGTGTCTGCCAGATCTTTCTGGAGGGATCATGCAGTCAAACGTGGGTTTTGAATTGTTTTTCTCACAATCCTGCGAGCTGTTCTGTCTGATATTTTTCTTGGTCTTCCAGATCTTGCTTTAACTTCCACTGTTCCTGATGACTGCCATTTCTTAATTACATTCCGAACAGAGGATATTGACATCTGAAAACGCTTTGCTATCTTCTTATAGCCTTCTCCAGCTTTGTGAGCGTCAACTATTTTCAGTTTCAGTTTTCTAGACAACTGCTTAGAAGAACCCATGGTGCTGATTGTTGGGGCAAGGTCAGATGAGTCTGGGCATTTAAAACCTTTGAGATTGACATCACCTGGTCTTCCCAGACGATGATTGAGAACAATCCATGACACTGGCAGGTCTCAGCTTGGCAAAGGGGGCAGTGCATGCTATAAATTCTGCAGGGTGCCCAAACTTTTGCAGACGCCATTTTTTTGTTTTCTGTTATTTTGAAAGTGTAAATGATGGAAATAAAATCTAACTTTTGTTGACATATTATAAGAATGTCTAATCTGTAATTTGATGCCTTTTGGAGATTTTTCCATCTTTCCTTGGCTTCTTTATGCACATTAATACAAATTTTTAGCTGGGGTGCCCAAACTTTCGATCCCCACTGTATATTTTTACATATATTTGTAAATGCATTCCAAAAATGTAGATTTCTATTTTTAAAGACATACAGTATATTTGAAATGTATTTTTAAAAATATTTTCATATATTTGGTAAAAAAAACGCACTTCAACATACAGTATATATATATTTATTGAAATATATTTTGAAATATATTGAATATTGCATGTAGCACACCTGTGTCAGGGTCATGTTTACCTGCATGGGGACATACAGGTGTTCCTTGCATTTATGTGTAGGCAGTCCCATAGATGTCAGTTGGAACTCAGCCACTGCTCCCAATTTGACAGCTGTGCGCTTACAGTTACATGTGTCCGTGCGTCTGTTGCACCCCAATTTAAATTGATGAGACTACCTGCACAGGAATGCATGGAACACCAGTGCATCCACATGCAGGCAAATTCAGCACCCGCACGGGTGTACACTGTAGTAAGCCCGTGTGAACAAGGCCTAAAGACCCAGTTTGTTTAATATTTCTTGGACCTCACCCTATTATGTACAATGGGCCGAAATTCAACAACATTCCAATATCTTCCCAGGAAAATATACACACTGCATTTTATTTAATAAGGCAAAGAACGGTATGCAGGGAGCACTTACCCTTGGTAACCATCATCTTTTCTTGGGTTGTCTTCCTTGGTGGTTATGAATTTACTATACACCTTAGCTATTTGCATTATGCTTATTTTTATATGTATATGTCAGGTTTTTATGGCTACTTTTGTACTGGCATTGAGAAATGTCAATTTAAAAAAAAAGGTGGACTTACGTAATGAAAAAGAGCTAGCCTACTAAAATGGAACCCTATCCCGAATGTTTCTTCCTCTATCCAAGATGACCTCTGGCCTTCCATTGTATGTGTTTCTGTGTAATGGATCATGTCATTTACTTATTTATTTATTCTTTTTGTTACTAAGGTAGCCATGCATTGCTGATACACACATACCGTATCGTATTTTCCCTTTTTTCGTTGTGTATGAGATATACAAGGTTAGGGTATTTTTTTTGTTTGTTTTTTGCCTGTGGATATAGATAAATATTAATTCTGCACATGATGAACATACATACATAAATTAATCGGAGCTGTTATATAGACATGGCTCTGGAAATATACAGTGTAGAAACATGCATTGCCCTGCGTGTAGATGGTCAGAACATCTTTGCAATGCATTGCGGCTGGTCCAGCCCCAGGGAAGGATCAGTTTCCAGACGATGTTCCCTCAGATGGTGACTACAAGAGGAGCTTCAGCATGGCTAGGCTGAATGCTCCAGGGAGTAACAGTCCGGGCAGCAGAGATGGAGCATGGTTGCACTGGAACTTTGTCCAGAAAACTTGGTTCATTGGTAGAGTGGCCACAGTATTCATTGAACACACATTATCTGTAGCGCATCCATTCCATTTATAGACCTGGTTTGAGTCTAGCGGTAAAAAACAGAAAGAAAAGGGTGAAGAAGAAGCACTCATGATTAAAATAGACCCCCCCCCCCCCACCCATCAAATATATACTACCATCCCATGTCATTATTGTACTGTACATATACCGTATTAATTAAGACAGTTCAAATAGAACTAAAGGCAAACATTTTTTATTTCTTTTTGGATAGAGCAAGGAAAAGATATAACCTCTATTTTTGCCACCCGTATCCCATTGCAAAGATTTCCCTTCACTTCCTGTTCTATAGCCAAACCAGGAAATGAGAAAAAATCCCTTTAAAGTAAGGGAATCCTGGTGTGTCACCAGGGTCACCAAAACTAGTGTCCCCATTGGAAGATATCCTGACTATAACTGTTCTAAGGACAATCCAAAATGTGGAATTTTCTTTTACTTTCACTTTCGATAATAATGGTAAACCTGACAAACAGAGAGAGTGAATCTCCCTGATAGTGGCACAGACAGCAATAAAAACCTTCCTGGTGCCACTTTTTCTGAACAACAAAGACACAGGATCCTGTCCCATAAAGATTCTATTTAGCGTAAGACCCAAGAGACAGTCCCATCGACCGTACACAAATTGTTCCCAGATTATTCCCTGCAATGCTGGTGGTGCGGAGAGGAAGAGGGCACTATGCTCTATTTCTTTTGTTCATGCCCTAGACTCTCAGATTTTTGGACCCAAATTAGATGTTATATTTTCAAGCTGACAGACATCCAATTGCTATTTTTTCTGCTCCATCTGACCCCTGTGTCTTTGAAACACTATAAATGCTCTCTGCTATTGCACCTTCTGAATGCAGCGAAGGCACGTGTGACAGACCCAACCAGGACAGGGGCTTTTCGAGGAGACTTTGGGGTAACCTTCTACCTACTGATTATGGCCCATGGAAGAGACTGGGGATTTTGTCTGTTTCTCCCGGTCACAGCATAGAGCCGAGTCCTGAAACCCTTTGACTGGCCGGGAGTATCTACCGGGATTATGCTGCCAGGAAGTCCCCAGAACAGTGGTGAGTCTGCGGACAAACTCACCACTGACTGTGCCGGACAGATCATGCAGATGTACCTTCACCAGCCGGGGATATAGACCTCTTCTTGGGCATATTTCTTATCTTGCCCTAGCTGGTCCTCAAGAGCTGCATAATGCAGCATTTGCCCATTTTGCCCGGCTACTATAAACTGTGTATTATTACCTTTTTATACTATTTCCGCCGAAGATGTGCCTCCTGGTAACCTAGATCCAAGCTGGATCTGGGGTGGGCCATTTAGAAACGAATGATGTAATGTGCTTCATGTATCGGGGCTGTTGTACTGTTTCTGGTCATCCTGGTGGGCATGCCCTGGCTAATTAAGATTTATTGTCGACATGTTTTCCAGCACATAGACAAGGGAGACCGGATGGGGAATTTATGTGACTATTAGCCATACTGATAAGACTTGTCTAGGTGCCTAGATGTTAATTTGATTAATTAAAAGGTTGAGTTGTCATGTTTTTACTGGTTGTACATCTTGTCTTATTTATGCTAATACCCCCAAGAGGGGAATGTCCTCCTGGGGTATAAAGTATGTGTCTGGGTTTTAATAAATAGTTATTCCTTTGATTTTACCTCAACATCCTGTCTGTGTATGAGGCTTGGGGTAAAGAGCTCGGTCTGTTGGAAGGGTTTGGAGGGTAGAAGGCACTGGTGGGTGGAGGCCATATATTGGAAGCAAACAGTTGTGCCACCCCCGAAACTGTGGTTCACCAAAATAAGCAAAACTTACCAAATAGAATCATTTATAGCATCAGCCAATTCCAGGAAAGAATGCTTTCATAAAACATGGTACTACTGGAGCAAGTTTACCTGCTCTTTCAAATATCGGGATACTCTAGGATCGCAGGTATAACTTTACCTGCAATGTGCCACATGTGTTTGCAGACATCTGACCTGACCAAACATGGCTACAAGGAGCTCTTCCTCCATCCCATTACCATCTCACCCCACCTCTACTTCCTTTCCCTCCACACCATTATTTTTCTCCTGCTCTTTTACATATTTTTTATTTTTTTATTATTTTTTTTTTTCTCCTTTTTTTAAATATATTGACTGTTTTTGGTTTTGGCATACGGATAGGTTGCTCCATCAGGTATATGCAGTCACCGGTTGTGATGGGAGACACTTTGGGTGGGGGGCCCATGGAATACAGCTCACTTTGGAGAGGTGGGGAGACCCCTATCTCAGCTCCCCATATCCCTCTTATGTGTAAGTCACCCTGTGCCTGTTAGGAGGTGCAGGGTGAAATGTCCTAATATTGTGTAGACATGTCTAGGAGATAGGTGGGGGTTGTTCATTGTTTCATGCCATGTGGTTGAATCCCATTGTTCTATTGTGTGTCTTGCTTGGGAGCAAACTATTATTATGGAATGTATATGTTTGTCTATTGGTTTGGTGGGGGGTGTCTGCTGTGTGCCTCTTGTTACTAAAATGTAGATTGCCCCGCCCTTTGTCAGCCGGCCGCCGCATCCTTAACGGCCGATAGCTGATCAGCTGTCAGTGTAGCCACAGACATCCAGACAAGTTGCCTGTGTTGTACCTACCATCTTTAGACTTGAAGCTCACACATTTGTACTCTTTTCCGTAGCAGCTGACTGTCTTTGGATCGTTGCACTTAGTGAGAAGCTCGTTGCAGTAAGGGCACCTGTGTTTGTTCTCCTTATCCTTCTCCTTTTTCGGATCATCAACTGAAAAAAAAAATACAGACAGATATGCCAGGACAGGTAGGACCACTTGTTTCCACCCTGAATTGATGAAAGAAGAACCATCTGGCCTGCTCATGACAACCAATCACTTCCTGTTAATTTTTTTCTCCAGCGTTGATTGCAGGATTGGGCAATTCAATTGGATAACAAAGGATATTTGAATTTTTACAGGGGAGGCATGTAAAGTGAACATTTCCCATCATTCTTATGGAGAAACAGGTGAAGACAGAATCCAGGACTGACCCGGAGCAAACTTACAGGACACAGCTTTAGACTTTTAATACTTTTCTAGCTGCAAACCTGTTCCAGCTCAGTGACCTCAAGAATCCCAAGTATGGCATTTTTACACGGTTAACCACTAGACCTTGGGAAGGTTTTACCCCGTTCATGACGAGAGCATTTTTTTGTTATTTAGCACTGCGCTACTTTAACAGGCAATTGTGCAGCCATGCAACACTGTACCCAACTGAAATAAATATCATTGTTTTCACACAAACAGAGATTTCTTTTGGTGGAAATTGATCGCCACTGGGTTTGTTACTTTTTACAATATAAACAAAAAAAAAAGACCACAGATTTTTTTTTAAAATGTTTTCTACTTTCTGTTATAAAACATATCCAATAACCCCCCCCCCCCCAAAAAAAAAAATATTCTTTTTAAATTTAGGCCAAAATGAATTTTGCTACATGTCCCTAGTAAAAAAAAAAAAAAAAAATCACAATAAGTGTATATTAATTGGTTTGTGCAAAAGTTATAGTGTCTACAAACTAAGGTATATATACTGGAATTTACACAGCTATAGAGCTATACTGGTATTGGTGGTGACCAGTGTCTTACAGTGTGACTGTGATAGTGCGGCTGGCAATATGGCGCTAGGGGACACTATCTGCGCAGGTCACTGACATCGCTAGTGACACTAATACAGTCATCAGTGATAATACTGTACACTGACACTGTACTAATGAGACTTGCTGGGAAGGGGAAATTCAATCTAGGGGCAATTAAGGGGTTAATTGATTGCTTAACGGCTTACCTGCCACCATATAGCAGATATACTGCTACACAGTGGCACAGGTGCGCAAAATCACATATATATATATATACATGACTTTGCCCTACCCACGCCGCCATGTCAATCACCCGGTCCCGGCCAGTGAGTACCTGCCGGCACCTGGTGATTATCAACAATCACCGATGGGGAGGAAGACGGTTTTGTTAACAAACAGTCTTCCTCCCTGTCAGCTGGGGCGCACTTGCACTTACAGTGAAGTACACCCGCCCCCTAGTAAAACACTCCCTACACACAGTTAACCCTTTGATCGCCCCTCACAAAAACCCCTTTCTGCCCAGTGTCATAAGTAGAGTGTCAGTGCTGTTTTGTAGCACTGATCATCACTGTATTGGAGTCACTGGGGATGTCAGTGACACCAAGTTAGTTCCCCCCAGTTTCAGAATGCCTGCCCCAGTCCCCAGTCCCGCTAAAAAGTCTCTGATCACCGCCATTACTAGTAGGAAAAAAAAAATCCCAGTATCTGTACCACCATTTGTCAACGCTCTAACTTTCATGTAAACCAAATTATTGTTTTTTTTTCTCAAAATTGTTGGTCTTTTTTTGCACATAGCGCAAAAACTAAAAAAAAAAAACCGCACAGGCGATCAACTATCACCGAAAGAAAGCTCAATTTGTGGGAAACAAAATTTCATCTGGGTGTTGCATTGCATGACCGCGCAATTGTCAGTTAAAGTAACGCAGTGCTGTAACTCAAAAAATGGCCTGGTCAGGGAAGGGGGGTAAATCCTCAGTAGGGCAAGGGGTTAACAATATGTAATGTGTGTAATATGTGCTGCTTTTACTTTACTATCTGCTATTTCTGACTGCTTTGCAGGGAGACGAAACGACAGATCACTGTTCCTTGTATACAGAGTTCTGTGTTTTTGTAAACACAGAACTTTGTGTGTGATTAGCTACAGCCAATTGCTTGACTTCAGCCAAAATCATTGACTGAAATCAGCTGCCAAACTTCTGCCGTGTTCAATCACAGGACGGGTTGGCAGAGGGTGCGAGCACGTACACAACATGCGCAAAGGTTGCGACCTACCAGCGCATCGCCCAGCCTGCAACTGATGCCTGCTCACAGTTCAACTACTGTGGGCGGGTGACAAGCACTTAATAACAATGCATATATCATACCTGTGTGATCCCTATAGATGCTGGAAATCACAGTGATCTCCACTAGCTTCCAGGTCATGTGCCAAGCGGCTGCCCTGCTGCATTGTGAACACAGGAGGTTGGTGGTTTGGGTCTGGGCTGCTTTGCATTTTCTCAATGAATGCAAAGAGCTTTCTGATTGGATGAGGTGGAGAAGTGGAGCAGGGCATCTCTGCAACATGCTGGTGGGGGACAGGCATTTCTACTCAGGCTGGTGCTGGTTTCTTAACCACTTGCCTTCCAGCCGCTGTATATAAATGGCGGGAATGATGGCAGTCCAGGGTCAGGTCGCCGTTCATAAACGGCGCCCACCATTATGGACTGTGCGCGCTCCTTGGGAGCACAGAGCACCGCGATCTGGTGCCCTCTGTATCCTCCGGACACAGTGGAACATCAATCGAAGAAAGGAGTATTTTGTCTTTTTCGATTTTGCCAGATGTAAAGCAGGCCTTTTTTGGCCTGCTTTACATCTGGCAAATTTTTTAAATTTTTATTTATTTTATTGAATTTGTTATTTTGAATATGTCCCTTTATTTTTTTATCACTTTTATTGCTATCATATGGCATGTAAACATCCCTTGTAATAGCTAAAAGCAGTGACAGCTACTCTTTACTGAGAGTTATGGGGTCTATTAGACCCCATATATTTCCTCTGCCCTTAAAAGCATCTGATCACACCAAGATTGGAGTGATCAGATGCCATCCAAGCCAAAAAAGGCCTGCTTTACATCTGTCAAAATCGAAAAACACAAAATACTCCTCTCTTCTGGTTTCTAATACCATACCGGAGACCAAGAACATTCCAGTCCCCGTTCAGCTCTAAGGTAAGCCGGTGGAAGCTGTAGCTTCAGTCTCAGGGAGAGCCCCAGAAGGCTCAGGAGAGCGGTGGGAGGGGATGCACCAATCAAGCGGTATATTGTGTATGTATGCACTAAAATTCATTGAATTTAAAAATTCAGTTTGAAAAACTTCTGCACAAATACTGCGTGACATTAAAAACAGTGTATAAAATGGGTATAGAAAAGAATCCCCCCCCCCCCCTTAAAATAATCACATTGTGTTGCTTTGCAGCCTGAATTGAAGACAGTCACAGTTTTTGTTTTATCCAGCTGTATTTACTCAGTGCAACTTATAACATCTAAGTCAGGGGTCCTCAAACTACGGCCCGCGGGCCACATGCGGCCCGCCGAGTACATTCATCCAGCCCGCCGGCAGGGGACACTAAGTACAGGGGCGGGCAGGGGGCTGCTGTCTCTTATCTGGCTCCAGTCCCTGTCCCACGATGATCCAGTCCAGGATGCGCTGCTCCTTCACTCTGGCCACTCCCTCACTCGATGTCCGCGCTGCCGCTCGGCTCCGCCTCCTCACCGGTGATTGGGCGCCAGTACTGTAGCTCAGGAAAGGCACACAGGCGGCCAATCACCGGCGAGGAGGCGGAGCCGAGCGGCCCCCCCGCGAAAATCAAGGGAGGGAGAGGCCGGAGTGAAGGAAGGAGGACAGCTGAACGCCTGGTAAGTGTGCCGTGCAGATGGTACTGCTGCAATCAGGTATGCTGGCTGCAGCATCACCATGCTGGAACAGGGGTCGGCTAGTTCCTCCCACTGATGCCAATGATGGGGCACGATTCTTCCCACTGACACCAATGATGGGGCACTATTCCTCCCACTGACACCAATGATGGGGCACTATTTTTCCCACTGATACCAATGATGGGGCACTATTCTTCCCACTGACACCAATGATGGGGCACTATTCCTCCCACTGACACCAATGATGGGGCACTATTCATCCCACTGACACCAATGATAGTGGCACTATTCTTCCCACTGACACCAATGATGGGGCACTATTCACTCCCACTGACACCAATGATAGTGGCACTATTCTTCCCACTGACACCAATGATGGGGCACTATTCCTCCCACTGACACCAATGATGGAACACTATTTCGCTCTATAAGACACACTTGGGGGGAAATGTCTGTGCGTCTTATAGAGCGGCGGCCGGCCCAGTATTCCCACTGCCGTTGTACGTCCGCAGTCTCTGAACAAATGCAGACACAGTACAGGAGATGACCATAGTTTTTTTTTTAAAACTATAGTCCGGCCCTCCAACGGTCTGAGGGACAGTGAACTGGCCCCCTGTTTAAAAAGTTTGAGGACCCCTGATCTAAGTTAACGATATAACACCAACATGTCAAAAACATAATCACTGTGTTGGAAAAAGGATCACCCCCTCCTAAAAATGAGTTGTAAACTCAGTCAACTGTAGCTAATAACCTTCTCAATGGCACACAAAGCCATTTGACTTTCAGCTGTGATCAGCTGTGGTCATTTTGATTGGCTCAGCATGAAAAGAGCTTTCCTGGAGCATTTCAGTCCCAGGTAGTGCAACTGAAGCAAACAATCAACTATGGGTGGGAAGGCACTGTCAAAAGATCTCCGGGATAAGGAGGTGGACACAAAAACATTTCAAAGACTTTATCAATGCCTAGAAGCACAGTGCAGTCTATTAGGAAATGGAAGGTACTGTATTTGGTACAACACAGACCCTCCCTGGATCAGGCCATCACTCCAAACTGGATGAAAGAGCCAGGAGAAAACTGGCCAGAGAGGCAACCAAGAGGCCTACAGCAACTCTGAAGCAGTTGCAGGAATTGATGACAAAGAGTGGTTACTGTGTACATGTGACAACATTATCACAAATTCTCCACAAATGTGGCCTGTATGGGAGGGTTGCAAGAAAAAAAGCCGCTCCTCAAGAAAGGCTACATGCAGTAACGACTGAGCTTTGCCAAAACACACTTTAAAGATTATGAGACCACATGGAAAAAGGCATTATGGTCAGGTGAGACTAAAATTTAATGATTTGACCTCCACCCCAAATGGTATGTCTGGCGGAAATCCAATGCAACTCACCATCCAAATACCACCATTCCTACAAAAGCACGGAGGTGGGAAAATCCTGTTATGGGGGGCTTCTCTGCAACAAGGACTGGAGCACTTGTCAGGATAGAAGGCAAAATAGATGGGGCAAAATACTGTCACATTCTTATAGTTACATAGTTATTCTGGCTGAAAAAAGACAAAAGTCCATCCAGTTCAACCATAAAAAAAAGTTATAATCCTATACCCACAGTTGATCCAGAGGAAGGCAAAAAAAAAAAACCCAGCAAAGCATGACCCAATTTGCTCCTGCTGGGAAAAAAATTCCTTCCTGATCCCCCGAGAGGCAATCGAATATTCCCTGGATCAACTTTACATATAAATGTTAGTATCCAGTTATATTCTGTGTATCTAAGAAACAATCCAGAACTTTTTGAAGCAATCCACTGAGCTGTCCAGAACCAACTCTTGAGGGAGTCTATTACACATTTTCACAGCTCTTACTGTGAATAAACCTTTCCGTGTTTGGAGATTAAATTTCTTTTCCTCCAGATGTAAAGAGTGCCCCCTTGTCCTCTGTGATAATCTCAGGGTGAATAGCTCTACACAGAGTTCACTATATGAACCACTGATGTATTATACATGGAGATCATATCCCCCCTTATGTATTATACATGGAGATCATATCCCCCCTTATGTATTATACATGGAGATCATATCCCCCCTTATGTATTATACATGGAGATCATATCCCCCCTTATGTTTTATACATGGAGATCATATCCCCCCTTATGTATTATACATGGAGATCATATCCCCCCTTTATCTATTATACATGGAGATCATATCCCCCCTTATGTATTATACATGGAGATCATATCCCCCTTATGTATACATTATACATGGAGATCATATCCCCCCTTATGTATTATATACATGTTGATCATATCCCCCCCTATGTATTATACATGGTGATCATATCCCCCCATATGTATTATACATGGAGATCATATCCCCCCTTATGTATTATATCCCATGTTGATCATATCCCCCTTATGTATTATACATGGAGATCATATCCCCCCTTATGTTTTATACATGGAGATCATATCCCCCCTTATGTATTATACATGGAGATCATATCCCCCCTTATGTATTATACATGGAGATCATATCCCCCCTTATGTATTATACATGGAGATCATATCCCCCCTTATGTATTATACATGTTGATCATATCCCCCCTTATGTATTATACATGGAGATCATATCCCCCCTTATGTATTATACATGATGATCATATCCCCCCTTATGTATTATACATGGAGATCATCAATCCCCCCTTATGTATTATACATGGAGATCATATCCCCGCTTAATCTCCTCTTCTCAAGAGAGAATAAATTCAGTAATTTCTTGAGGAAAATCTTCTGCCCTCTTCCATAAAGTTGTCAATGGGAAGAAGGTTTACCTTCCAACATGACCATGACCCAAAGAACACAGCAAACATGTCCACGCAGTGCTTAGAGAACCTGTGGAATGACTTGGAGACTGCTGTCCACAAACGGTCACCGTCAGATTTAACTAAACGAGAGAAGTTCTGCAAAGAAGAGTTGGCAAATATTGCAGTCTAGATGTGAAAAGTTAGTAGACATATCCCATCAAACTAAAGGTTGGAATTAAAGCAAAATGTGGTTAAAAAAAAAAAAAAAATACTGCCACAAGGGGGTGATACTTTTCCAACTCAGTGATTCTATTTGAATTTGTTTAGTTTTTTTCTGACATGGTATTATTTCTTTTAGTTGGAATGTAGAAGTTGCAGTAAATCTGTCTTCATATCAGGCTGCAACACAAAACAATGTGACAAATATTTTTAAAGGGGGGCAATTCTTTTCTACACCCACACCTTTTCTACGCCATGCATGTGGAATGTATTTAGCTTTTTAGCTGTTTTAAAACATTGGAGGAGATCTGAGATCTGATGTGCATGCATTGGGGCTGATCTGAGGTCTGATGTGCATGCATTGGGGCTGATCTGAGGTCTGATGTGCATGCATGCATTGGGGCTGATCTGAGGTCTGACGTGCATGCATTGGGGCTGATCTGAGGTCTGACGTGCATGCATTGGGGCTGATCTGAGGTCTGCACGTGCATGCATTGGGGCTGATCTGAGGTCTGACGTGCATGCATTGGGGCTGATCTGAGGTCTGACGTGCATGCATTGGGGCTGATCTGAGGTCTGACGTGCATGCATTGACGTGCATGCATGATCTGAGGTCTGACGTGCATGCATTGGGGCTGATCTGAGGTCTGACGTGCATGCATTGGGGCTGATCTGAGGTCTGACGTGCATGCATTGGGGTTGATCTGAGGTCTGACGTGCATGCATTGGGGTTGATCTGAGGTCTGGTGTGCATGCATTGGGGTTGATCTGAGGTCTATAAATTCTTGCATTGGGCTGACTATGCATGTGCATTTCGTTTTGTTACCATTTGTTTCTCAGACTAAAATTTCATTTTTGGAGATTTGGATGTATATAATGACGAAAGTCAATGAATCTGAAAAAGTTATAATGAAATTAACGAATGTATTAGTTTCATTCATTTGACGTCACATGACGTGATGGTAGTTCGGGCCCATGGGGAAATGAATTACATTTTCAAATTTGTTTGATAATTGATACTTGGATACCAAATGGATCCAAATTTCATTCCGTTTGTTAATTCGGATGCTCAGGATACCAGTTGATATTGTCCAATCAGCTCTTGCCATTTCTTTTAATGGGTTGCATTAGCGTCCAACAATATCAACTCCTTCCGATTCAATAATATATTCAATATAAAGCAATTCCGGAAAAACTGCAAACTTGTTCGGATTCACCCAGACTAACAAATTTACAAAACAAATGCTGAAGATACGAAAAAAAAATTGGTTCAACGTGACAAATTCCTCAATGAATTAATGCATCCGAAACTAAACGAAGCAAACATTTCCGGTGTGCACGTGTCTGGTTTGATTTGAGATGTCAAGTTCATGCATTGAGGCTATCCATGTTTGTGTTTAATCAGTTTTTGTACTCATAGTTGTACTGCTAATGACAAATTAATCTCATTTCATAGTATAAAATAATGAATAAGTAGAACTTTCCATTAGCAGTACAACTACTGTGCAAGGAATTGAAACAATCTAAGACTGACACTCTATTGTTCACTCGCACGCCGTGTGTCTGATGCTTGTGAAGGGGAGAAAAGGTTGCCGACTTCTGCTCTAATATTTTGAATTCTTTATGGAAGAATTTTGAGAAAAAGTGCTATAAGAGCTAAAAATATATCTTTATGTTCAGACTTACCTACAGGAATATTTGTTTTACATTTGTCTGAGTCGCAGCATGTGACTGATGCATATAACCTGGTGGCGTTGAATGACATGCTGTAAGTTTGATTGCAGAGATTCCTTTCTCCACATGATTTCACCAGGTGTTTGATGGGCAGCTTTTGTTTGTCTGTCAAAACACAGAACATGGAATAGGTTGTTAAAAAAAAAAAAAAAAAAAACAGTTTTCCCTTGTTAGACTCAGCATACAGTATATGCAAATAGTTCATGGGGGTTTAAAACCCAACTAAGGGCCTAGTTTTCTAAAATGAATAATCAGCATAATGTACCTAATATGTTTATTTCCTGTGATCATCATCTCCACCTACAGTAGTGGCCATAATAAGTGGTGTATTTTGGTTTTGTTCTGCCCTAGGCAAGACTAAAATCGGGCACCCCTCTGCATCTAAATTTGCCCCACCTTTCCTGTGTAAGACCCACCCCTTCATCTGTAAACCCACACCCCTTCCTATTTAGGCTCCACCTCTTCTTATTAGAGCTCCACCCACTGACAACAATGATGAGGCGCTATTCCTCCCACTGACACCAGCGATGGGGCACTATTCCTCCCACTGACACCAAGGATGGGGCACTATTCCTCCCACTGACACCAAGGATGGGGCACTATTCCTCCCACTGACAGCAAGGATGGGGCACTATTCCTCCCACTGACAGCAAGGATGGGGCACTATTCCTCCCACTGACAGCAAGGATGGGGCACTATTCCTCCCACTGACACCAAGGATGGGGCACTATTCCTCCCACTGACACCAAGATTTGGGCACTATTCCTTCCACTGACACCAACGATGGGGAACTATTCCTCCCACTGACACCAAGGATGGGCACTATTCCTCCCACTGACACCAACAATGGGGCACTATTCCTCTCACTGACACCAAGGATGGGGCACTATTCCTTCCACTGACACCAAGGATGGGCATTATTCCTCCCACTGACACCAACGATGGGGCACTATTCCTCTCACTGACACCAATGATGGGACACTATTCCTCCCACTAACACCAACGATGAGGAACTATTCCTCCCACTGACACCAACGATGGTGCCCCATCATTAGTGTCAGTGTGTGAGGAATAGTGCCCCATAATTGGTGTCAGTGGGAGGAATACAGGACCTCCTGAATGCATATTTTATTGATTGATTTTTATAGAATGGCAGTTTTGCAGGGAACTAAGGCGCAGCAACTGCGGACCAATTGTTCAACTTGCAGTTGCGGCACAGTCCCATTGACTTCAATGGCCAAGTTTCCCATATGGAAGAAAAATATATTTTAAATATATTTTAAAAATACATTCTTAATATATTCTTCCCAAATATATTGACATATATTTCAAATAGTACAATTTACAAATAGTCAATATATTTCAAAAATATTTTTCAAAAATATTTTTCAATATATTAAAAATATATTCAGAACACATGCTGAAATATATTTCAAAGTGTATTTTGGACAGCATTTTACAAGTATATTTAAAAATATATGTTTAAATGCATTTTTGTAGATGTTCAAAAATATCTGGAAAATATATTTTTAAAAATATATTTTTAAATATATGCCTTTGGAATTTTTAAAAAAATTTTTAAAAAATTTTAATTTATATTTTTGGAATGCATGTTAAAATATATTCATGTAGGCCAATATATTGTAAATATATGTTGCATGTATAATTTTTTCTTTCAAAGTATATTGGAAATATATTTCTCTTCCATATGGGGTGACAGGCGGTGTTGCCTGTCAGACTTGAAAAGTGAAATTTGCCATGGCATGTGTACTGTCCACTTTAGTTGACTTGTTAGGCTTTTGGTGGATGGTTGTGGGGTGGTAAAAATGTGGCCGAACTGCTTTTTACATATTTGTCCTTTTTCAGAGCTGTCAGCTCCACCGTCCCCCATTACTGCTTCACACCCCGCCCTGCTCTTTTGTCCTCCACGTTCGGCGTCTTCTCTCCTCAGCCGTCCTCTTTGAGTAGAAGATCAGATATCTTGTTGATTTTTTTTTTTTTTTTTTTTTTTGTGTGTCCTCACATTCACAAAAATATAACATGTGTGGTGGGAGGATGGGTGCAGGTCAACTAACCTTGCTGAATCTCGGTGAGCGTAGTAATACATGTGTCATACGGTGGTAGGCAGGTCTTCTCGTGTTCTTCACAGTTGCCTCCAGTGGTGGTGTTACAGTGAAAGCAAGTCAGGGAGAAAGCTGAAAAACAAAAAAAAGTTGTTACATATGGACCACTTATATGTTTTATTAACCACTTTCCCTCTGGAATATTTGCCCCCCTTCATGACCAGGCCATTTTTTTCTATGCGGTGCTGCACTACTAACTAACAATTACACGATCATGCAACGCTGTACACAAATTAAATTTATATCTTTTTTTTTTCACACAAATAGAACTTTCTTTTGGTGGTATTTGATCACCACTGGGGTTTTAAGTTTTGATTAGATAAAAAAAAAAAAATCAATAATTTTTTGCTTTCTGCTATAAAACTTATCCAATAAAAAAAAAAAAAATCTTAATAAATTATGACCAAAATGTATTTTGCTACATCTTTGGTAAAAAAAAAAATCCTTAAGGGCTCATTCACACTTGACTAATTTCTAACGCTTGCAAGACGCCCCTTCATTATAGGCGTTTGTGGTGTGTGTTTTAACATTCCTCAAACGCTCCCCAAATGCCCCCCAAATGCCCTATGCATGTTTTTGAGGCGTTTGATAGGTGTTTGCCAAGCATTACAACTGCACCACAAATGCCTATAATGAAGTTTATTGATATTAACGCTCCGCAACCACCTCACAAATGTCCCTCAAATGCCTGCCAGGCGCTTTGAGGAGCATCCACATAGACTTGAATGGGAGGCTTCAACTCCTGACTCGACATGAGGCGTCAATTTAGAATTAATGGCACCCGCCCGCGGGTCCACGTTCTTCTGTGTGGGTGGTGCCTGCACTGCACAGATTTTTGTGCAGATCCGCATTGGCACCACCCGCACATATGTGAACCTAGCCTAAGTGATTTAACAAGATACAAGAAAGCTGTGTCCCATTGGGCTGCGGAGATTTCCATTCACTTCCTGTCCCCTAGCCTAAACAGCACGTGAGAGGAAATTCCTCCACACTGAAGGAATCCCTGGTTATCGAAAGGACTAGTGACCCCTGTCATGATCGCGGCGTTGGACCCCAGACCTTCTCACCCAAACTCGTGACCAAAGGGCTAGGCGATCTAAAACCGCGATGTGACATGCTTAACAATGCCACACCCAGCTGCACCCTGCACAATGATTTTCCAGCTAATGGATAAAGATCGATGTACCGGCAGCCTGAGCGATTGTTACTGAGGTCAGGTTAATTATGCAATTAATACTTCACACTGCCACCACCTCCTTTTTGTACAGAGAAAGAGGAAACTCGGCGTTATCAGCTATAACACTATAATGATTGAGATAATCATCTGTATAAAACGGTCCGCAGGCCGGTTATACAGAGGTTTAAACAAACACAGTAGCGTCTCTTTAGAGGCAGGAATTCATGAGTTGCAATACAGAGCTATAGAAACAGTTCAACACTTTCAGAAGGAAAGATTTATTACTAAAAAGTCAAACAGGAGCAATAAAAATATTTACAGAACAAAGATGTAACTAAGATATATATATATATATACATATACAAAGAACCATAGCACAGCAAAGAGGTATCAGAGAGAGGTGAAAGGGTTAAAGTACTTTCCAAAGTCCTGGGTTAGCAGATCCAAGTTTCAGAGCAGAAGGGTGCTTTGATCTCCCTATGGTACGATGGAAAAAAATCGGAGAATTCTTCAACTTCCTTCCTCTTAGGCCTGACAGCCTGTTTTAAAGTCCTCAGCAGGGGGGTGGCTCTGCAGTCAAGAGCCAATCTCCTCTTAAAGGTGTGGAAATATGGGTGGATGCCTCAACTAGAGCAAAACTCTCCCATAAATCATATTTGCCTATAACTTTTCATCTGCACAAGTGACAGTCCACCCGCGGGTAGATTATTATGCAGACAAGTCTGAGGATTAATTAGATATGAATTATGAAATTATATACTGCACGGTTCACGAGATCTATGTTTCTGCTTCCCTGAGTGTCCGAGACAAGGCGTCTATAAGCAAGCTATAAGTAAGCATTTAACTGAATGAAATCGATTCATTCAGGTTTTTCTTTTTGTGATTAGCTGTGATTTGGCCACAGCTAATCACATGACACAGCTGGGCTGTGATTGGCCCAGTCTGTGCATGTGATCGCTGTGACCATTCACAGCTAGACACAGTTGTATACAATGGATGGCATGAAAATAAGCCATCCATTGTATACAACTGTCATGTGACCTGGCTTTGATTGGTCACAGCAGGTCACATGGTACTGGCAATGGGGCCGGCACACAGATCTGTCATCGGCCGTGTCCAAGGTACATGGCCGGTGACAGATCGTGCCACGCGCGGCCCTGCGGGCATACGTAATGTAAAGGACGCCATATGGCGTCCACCTGGAGGGACGAGCTGTTCGCCCGGCCGCCATCTGGCTATAGGCAATGGGTTAACACCTTCCTGCCTGGTCTACAGCAGATTGATGGCCGGGTGGGACACTCACCATTGTGACTGGCCATTATATGACGTCCTGTCAAAATGAGCCATTCACGCGGCCGCGGGGCCATTCAGCTGCACGATCTGTCACCGGCTGTGTCCACACAGCCGATGACATATCACTACACTGGCCCGTTGCCAGTGTCATGTGACTGCTGTGACCAACCACAGCAGATCACATGTCGATTGTATACAATGGATGGCTTCCTGTCATGCCATCCAGTGTATACAATTGTGTTGTTAGCTGTGACTGGTCAAGGCAGTCACATGATACCGACAGGGCCAATCACAGCCCATCTGTATCATGTGATCAGCTTTGTCCAATCACAGCTAATCACAACAAAAGACTGAATCAGTTTAGTTCAGTAACAATGACTGCAAATATCAATGAAATACATTGGTATTAGCAATCATAATGTGTTAAAAAAAGAAACAATCCTGACCACTTGCCCAGAGTAGTTCAATGTTACTATGGTAACATTGTATTGCTTTGGTCACAGTGTGCTGAAAAATAAAATCGTAAAAAAAATAAAAAAAAAATAATAAAAATAGAAAAAAATAACATAAACATTTGAAAAAATATATACATTCAATTATTATTGTTATTTTCACCAAAGAAATGTAGCAGAATACATTTTGATCTAAATTTATGAAAAAATGTTATTTATTTGCAAAATAATAAAACAGAAATGAAGAAAATGTGTTTTTTATTTCAAAAGTTTCAGGTTTTTTTTGTTTTTTATTTAGCAAAAAAAACAACTCAGTGGTGATTAAATACCACCAAAAGAAAGCTCTATTTGTGTGAAATAAATGATAAAAAATTTCATATGGGTACAGTGTTGCATGACCGCGCAATTTTCATTCAAAGTGTGAGAGCGATGAAAGCTGAAAACTGGCCTGGGCAGGAAGGGGCTAAAAGTGTCCGGTATTGAAGTGGTTAAATGAGCTGGCTGATAGTTTTGCATTGTGAGATGGAGCAGTAAAGCACAACCATTGTTTTGAAACAACTGACAATTTTTTAGAATTTGCATTTTTCTCCTCCTTATAACTCCTCTACATGTACATATTCTGTATATATCATTGCTCTTAGGCCTCGTGCACATGAATGCTTGCCAGCTCCTGTGTGCTGAGGTGTAAAATCCCCAACACATTCCGGCACCAATGCAAAAGAATGGCAGTACCAGGTCGTGCTGAAAATGCTGATGGCTTCAGCATCAGGATTTATCCAGCATGCATGTACAGCGATCCCAGAGAGAAACCCAAGGAGTATGTGCATGTGCAGACAGGACTGCTGTTAGAAACCACAGGGCCCCATACAGCCAACCTGACAGGCCCCCCCCCCCGGAAAAAAAACCCCCCCACAGTTTTACTATGTTTCAGTTATGAATGTACTCAGTGAATGATCAGTAGCAATCACTCATTGTGTTCATTCAGGAAAGGATCAGGCTGGTAAATGTGAACATGTTTACTGGACCCTTCCCCCACTCTCCATCCTGAAGGATTCTATTGTGTGCTTGCAGCTGCCGGTGGGAAGAAGAGGAGGAAAGCAGGCAGCACTGCAGGGGTGGGGGCGCACGGGGACGGGGGAGGACGGACATATGGTACACAGGGAGGGTGATGGCTTAAAATACTGGAACTGATCAGCCAGCTTTCAGCTGCTGCAGAGAGAATCATACAGGAGATTGGTTTCAGTACTCCCCCCTCTGCCGTGCCAATCACCCTCCCTGCCCACATCTGATTCACACCCAGCGGCCTTGGCCCCACTGCTGACCTAGGCCCCGTACAGGAGGACTGGTGGTACCCCCATATCCACAGCCCTGTGTACAGGTGAACAATGATACAGTGGTCTGTAGCAAACTAGCTCATCAGAGTTGGACGTGGAGTTCCCCTTTTTGTTTTAAGGGAAGTATTCCTTATTCCTCACACTCCCTACCCCCTCCCTTCCTGAGAGGCAAACTTATCTCCTCTCCTGACAGATGGGGGGGGGGTCAACCACAGGTTAGGCATCCCTAGTTGGTGCCAGCAGTCTGGGAAAGTGTAAACTTTCTCCCCCATCATAATCAAGATAAGATAGCTTCTCTCTGGACTTGAAAGAAAATTGAACATTTCTCAAGTCAGGCTTTCCCCCCGATGTTTCATGTCATGGATTATGACAGATGTTGGCTCTAATTCAGAGTTCCCCACTGACTCTCCTCCCAAAACAGCGTAGTCAGAGCAACCCCCCTTTCAGAGGGATTTTTAAAAAAGAGACAGGCTAGCAAGCCTGCGAGTTACAGTGTAACAGATCTCCTCAGCTGAACATCGTAACAGAGGGAGATCAAAGAACCTTCCTGCTCTGCAACTTGGATCTGCAAACCAAGGCTTAAATTGGCAAGTAACTTAGCCCTGTAACTTCTTTCCTATTATCCCTTTGCTGTATCTTTATATATATATATATATATATATATATATATTTTTGTGACATCTCTTTGTAAATATTTTATTGCACCTGTTTGACTCTTTTAGTAATAAATCTTTCTTTCTGAAAGTGTTAAACTGTTTTTAAGCGCTTACCTGCAATTCACGAATTCCTGCCTTTTGAAGAGACGCTACTGTGTTTG